CTCGTATCCAACTTCTCCCTATCCCCTCACGTTCCAGACGGTCTTGCGTCATGTCAATGCTCGACATACCAAAGAGTAAGACACGTTTTTTTTCGCACTCTTTCTCAGTATATGCCTCATTACTCTGGAACAAACTCCCTAAATACATCAAAAAAAGCCCCTCCATAACTTCTTTTAAAAAAAATTTAAAACAGTACCTTCTGTCACAAATTGGTCCTTAATTTTATCATCTGATTTACTATTTTTGTGTATTCCAAATGCGTACGATTATATTTATACTTTAATATGTATGTATATATGTATGTATATATGTATGTATATGTGTATATAGTATGTATATGTGTATATAGTATGTATAATATGTAAGTTTTTTTATATTTATCATTATATGTGTTTTTTTTATCTCATTTAATTGTATAATTATTTATAATTTTATCTTAAATCAATTGCACACTTTTAGTCCCGTCATATAACACTATTTCTCACTTCCTTAGGTTGGCTGGAAGAGATCTCTTCTAGAGATAAGTCCACCTTTGCCCACATTGTTCTCTGTATTATCTGTGTTACTCTGTTAATATGCAATAAAGAATATATATATAATGTTATTATATGTATAGAAAATAAGAAGAACGAAAAGAAAACTATAAGAGTACAAGGATCAAACAAGAGAAAGAAAACAAAAAGAAAAATAGAGAAAATGAGAACAAGAGTGAGACAACCAATAACTAAACATTTTGTTAATATGTATAATATTAACGATTCAAAAATGTAACCTTTATATTCATGACTAGGACCTTTCAGACGATATTGTAAATGAACAATGGTTATAGTGTATTTACATTCAAAGAAATTGCATTAAACTGAGAAATAAACAAACGGACATTATTTGCACTACGAAATTTCAAGAATATATCTCTATCAATTCTTCATATTAACTTAATTACTATGATGTCATTGAATGATAAGTTGGGGTGACTTTCCTTAATGTATGCCAGATTTTTTTTTGAACTGATCCAATTTTGATTGTTTTGACAAGGATCTTTTATAGTATACCTACTATATTCATAAAGATTTTTGGCAACTCTGGGCTGCTACTGAGAATCCAAATTGTCGTGTTGAATTGTTGTCCCATCGAACTTTGGGAGCGATAGGAGTATAGCGAATGCACTTTTATATGCACATCTGGCTTGTCTCAATAAAAATGGTAACCGTCACCGAAATCTGTCAGGAGGACAATGAAATAAACGATGATTTTTAAATAACCAGATAATTTCGAGGTAGACTAGGTATCTACTAATACATATGTAAACTTAAAAATACTGTTTTTTTATTTATTTTTATCGGTAATTTAATTTGAATTCAGGCAGTGGTAGCCCAGTGGTAACGCGCTGTCTTGAGAAACCGAGTGAAGCGGGTTCAAACCCCGGGTCTCGCACCTCTGATATTTTCTTGTGCGAATCATTTCTAATATGATTAAACTTGTCGCGATGTTTTACCTATTTTATAAAAAACTTATTTTTTTTAGTATTAATTATGTCAAGATCAAGTTACATAATTATTGTATTCTTGTTTATCTTCACAGGTAAATCTTGCGATAAGCTTTTATATCATATAAATTGTTTCATTTAATAAATTGATGGGTTTGATTTAATTTAAAGTTTTTTTAGAGCTTTTTCTTTTTAGAAAATTAAAAAGGTTTTTTCCTATTATTTTATTGTTTTTATTTTATTCGTATTCTTCTCAGAAAACTTTTTTATTTGATAACCATATCAAGGGGGTGGGTGCATAAAAACATAGTCCGCCATCTTTGGAAGTCCGCCATATTAGATTTAGAATGACGTCACTTAGCTAACCATGCAGTGTCATCGAAAAACGTGTATACATCAGCTCAATCGGTTGAGGATAACGGCTTAAAATTCAGTTACAAGATTTGACCCAAACTAACATACTAACAAACTTGTACAAATAAATGGGTGAAGGAAAATCTTACTTCGGATCTTAGAGCACAGAGGTTTTATAATATATAAAAATAATAAATATATATTAACGGATAATGGAGGAATGCTCATTTCCGTCATACATCAAGCTTACATTGCAACATATAGATCGAATACAATTTGTTGCGGAGTATGTCGTAACGTACGTGTAAATCGTAAACACACAAGTTATTAAAATAAGTGAATGTGCGAACATTTGAATGTTCAAACTAACCTTAAACAGTGGATATTTGTATTTCTATTATTGCTTAACTCTTTACAAATCGTCAACATTTACTTACTTATTTAGCTAAATGGCACCGTGGCTTTTAAGTCGAAGCTCTTCGATTCAATTTTTACTTCATCAGTTATTATACCTAACTATTCTTAGATATACGCCAATTTGCAGTCTCTCCCATGACCTTGATGCTGTAAAGCATTCGAAACGTCGGGAATCAAAAATCAAAATAAATCCGCGAAAAACCGAAGCAAACTTTGATTCAAATGAGATAATGCTATAATTTCACTATTGATAAAATCAAGAAATTGAAATATAAATGAAAGATCATAGATTAAAATACAATTTTCCTATCGAAAATACCTCTCCAAGGCTTTACCGGAATAACGCCACATACGATACCTAAGTGGATCAGTGTACAAACCTATGTCATAGAGATATAATCTGTACAAGAATGGAAGAGACTTGCAGGAGCGCTAAATGCTATATATGTATTTATAATATCTATTTAAATTTATATATTATGTGTAGTGTATCAACTATCTGGTATCCATAACACAAGCCTCGTAGCTAACTGATAGCTAGATAGCTAGACGGTGCTGTGTTAATGTCCCAATTATATTTATTTTATTTACTACATTATATTATTTAATATGTTATTTATTACATTTAGAAATGTGCATTTATATCAACGAAATCATTAAATACGAAACAAATACGAAAGTTACTGTGTACGTTTTTTATTTCTTCATTCATCCTGGTTACTGCCATGGAAGTGTAGTTACTAGCATGTATGCCTGCAGATCTGGAGGTCCTGCGTTCGAGTTCCGGGTCAGGCCAAGTTTTTAGTATTCACGTATCTAATATATAAACGAAGCCAAGGAAAATATTTAATATGTACTTCATATGAGCAGCTTAAGAAGTGTAAACTCTAGTGAATCTATATTAAAAAAGTAGTAAAAAGCAAGTAGGTAATTACTAGGCTTTTTTATCTTCAAAGAGTGTACCATATTTTTAATATATTACAATATTTTTAATTTTTTTTAAATTCGGTACACAAATATGATATTTTATAGGCCAAATATAATTTTATAGTAACTTGAGGTTGCGACTGTACGTCGTCAGCGCGTCTCAGGTTCTGAAATAAGAATTCTTCTTTATATATAATGGGTTATAATTTTTCATTTTACTTTTCACTACGTTAGTGTTCATTTTCAGATGCTCGATATTTCGATTCAAATTTCATTAATTTACTAGCGACTCGCCCTCGCTCCGCTCGGATTCTACCCTACTTACGTTTTAAGGTTTAGTATAGATTTCTCAAAGGATGAGATATTTTCCCGCATTAAAAACTATCCTGAATGTTAACCCGGATAACCAGCTATCACCATACCAAATTTCATCAAAATACCTCCAGTGGTTTTTCGGAGATGCCGTCACAGACAGACAAAAATTCTAAAAACTATAGACTCGGCCTCTGTATCTATTATAATATTGCCTATTTTAATAAGATTTTCCAAAAAATATTTAATGTACAGATTCGACTCAATTACAATTTTATTATATGTATAGATTTGGTTTTAAGGAAGCAAAATATAAATAAAATCAATCACAAGCTAATTATAGCTTTTATAATAAATTATAGCTTTTTATAATTATATTAGTTTGTAGTAATAAATTACTAAAACTGAATGATGACAATAAATTAATAATAAACAAACACCATGCGAGCTTTGAGAATAATTTATAAGCAGTCAATTCTCTAAAAATGTAGGCGAATTCGAAGACGAAAGACTATATAAGTAATTATTTTGTTTAGTGACATAATATTATAGTTGTAGGAATTATAAAACACCGAGTGCGAAGTGGTAAGTGTGCTACCACTTCGTTAGAGGATAATACCTGTATGCCCGTGGTCGCGAGTTCGTTTCTTTCCATATCGCACTTTCTCTTGTACAAAATCGACTTAATACATATCAACATTACTGTACAGTGCTAGAAGAACGAAAAATTATACAGGAATCTGAATAGTACGCCGTCTTGTCTGCCGAGTTCCCTCAGGACAAAACTATGTTTTTGGTTGACAAGCGATTTTAAATTTAAATGTGAAAAGCTTAAAGGCTAAGGAAAGCGTACTAGAAAGTTTGTACAGAGTGTGTCGACCCGCCAACATATGGCGTCCACGTGACGTTGCTGCCTTGAACAGTCATTAGTATTAGATTCTTGTTAGTATGATACTATTCTACTTAAATTACGAGTTACACAATACACATATTTATCTTCAATTGTAAGCTATCTATACTAATAAATAATATACCAAGTGTCTGTCTGTAATTATCTATACGTAATTAGCTATCTTATTACACGGTCTGTTTGTCCGTTTGTTCTCATTGATCTCATTAAACGTTGAATCTTTTTTAATGGTACTTTCTCTGACAATTAGAGGATTCAACTGAAAATAATATATTATCCTTTTTTATCCCGGATACGATTAACTTAACTACAAAAAAAAAAACAAGTAAAAGTGACTGAAATAAAAGACATAAAAACAAAATAAGGTTGAAAATATAAATTAAAACAGCTTGAATAGAACGAATCTTATATTTAATAATTTTGGTACATATATATTATAATTTTATACAAAGCACTAGTTGCCGCTTTTAATGTCATTCGAAATATTGGACTTTAGAAATTACATTTCAAGAAAAAAAAAAAATTATAACAAGTCCTCAAGGATCGTGAGATTAATTCGTAAATAAATATATATAATATTTATTTAATTTTTAAGCTTTAGCATCTGGGGATGGTAGATGTAACCTCGCAGCTAATTCATTAGGCACATCTAAATAGGTCCTCTCGAGCCCTACCGTTAGGATCAGGGCCCTAAGTCTCTCCACTTCTACGTTGTCACCCTCACTGGACCATACCGTCATTGAGGAATTCAAACTTGCCGTCTCTCTTAGAAGATCAAGTAAATACGGTTGGCTATTCGAGGCTAGACCAGCACGTACCTAGAAAATTAGGAAATTGATACCTAATATGTATTATGGAATTTACATCTTATATCGTAAAATTATGTTACACAATGACGCATCATCATTGCTTAATATCCATACTAATATTATAAATGTGAAAGTGTGTATGTTTGTTTGTTAGCTTGTCCTTCTTTCACGTCAAAACAGAGAGACGAGTTGACGTGATTTTTTGTTGTTGGAGGGCTGGAGAGTGACGTAGGCTACTTTTTATCGCGGCAGATTATCTAATTCCCACGGAAAACACGTTATAATACAATCCAAAAAAAATATTTATGATCGGAATTACTTGAAACTTGGCATTAATGCTCTTCAATAAAATTAAATAAAAACGTGTTTTAGCATTTTCGAAATTCATTCTATAAAGGGGTTAAATAGGGGATGAAAGTTTTTATGAAACTATATCTTTTCAGATATTTCTTTGTAGTTTTAGCGCGAGCGAAGCCGCGGGTTCTGCTAGTTGTATATAATTAAGAAAGTTTGTAGAAGAAAAGTTTTTTGGTTTGTGGTTCTTTTTTACATTATATTATATTCAGTCCTTTTTTCAACGTCCCAATACTGGGCATGGGCCTTCCTTTAATACGAGGTCATAGTTCACTACTCTGACCAAGTGCACGTTGGCGGACTTCACATGTTCTTCGAACATTTTTCTAGGTTCTTAGACATGCAGGTTTCCTCACGATATTTTTCATCACCGTAAATGATAATTATGTTGGAAATTATTAGCAAATGAAAATATCAGAGGTGTGAGTTCCGAAATTTCAACCCGCTTCACTCGGTTTCCAAAGCGATCGCATCACCACTGGACTACCACTGCTGTCATGAATGTTTTAGCAATAAATTGACATGAATTTTTTTTTTACGATAATTTACTTTTACTACGGTACATACATTAAATTCCTAGGGTATACATACATACATCGATGTTAAAAATATACTTACAGGGAAAGTAACAGTTTGATTGACATGATGCTCATTAACCAAACGGAGCATAGCACCTATTTGTTCTCTGCTGTATTCTCCCTCTGTGATATTCCCTCCATAATTCGTAGTCCAACCTATGGAGAGAACCGCTCGGGGGTGCTTCATGCCTAGATGTAAGAACTTGACTGGATCGACTGGTTTTGTTGTAGCTTCTACGGGCCCGGGAAGAATGTCCGCATTGAGCCATAAAGGAAATGTTACCTGTAAGCCAAAAATTTTCTTCAGTTATGCTAAAAACTTTTTACCTATATAGCGAAATAGATACGGCGGTTAAAATATCCTATTTCTCTTCCGAATTTTACACACAATTATTCTTTATAACTTTAGTGTGAATGTAAAAGGTAAGCTAATACATATTTAGTAAACTTAGATTAGTTGTCAAAAAAAATTATGAATTAAATGAAAATGTTTAACTATAATGTTGCACTGATTGTAGTTCCTAATCTTCGTCTATACTTCGGATGCGGGCCTGCGACCATAGTCCCGCAACCGGCACCCATCATCCGGTTGTGGGACCAAGCGGTCCCACCACCGGTGGCCGCAACGTTTTCGGCTCGAGGCCTAGACGAGCGGCCCCACCCAAGCCATTTGGTCCGCGCCGGTACCACCCGCTGCCCTAAGCGGATGGATTCCCCTATCCGCCACCTGGGGACGCGCCCGGTAGGAGTTGGCTTCTCCCCCGGGATAGATCTATAGGTACTAATATTATAAAGAGGAAAGATTTCTTTGTTTGTTTGTGCAGAATCAACTCCAAAACTACTTAACCGATGTAGATGAAATTTGGTAAGAAAATAGTTTGAGACCCTAGAAAGGTCAAAGGATAGTTTTTATCCCGGAGATCATCCCTTAAGGGGGTGAAAACGGGATGAAAGTTTGTATGGGAAAGCATCTTAGGTACGAACCCGAGCAAAGCGAGGGTGAGTCGCTATTATTCTAAAACGAGTGAACCGTGGGTAAAGCACCCGTATAGGAGTAACATAATTTTACTTATCTAACTTTATCATTCTTATAATCTGACGTTCAAATAATAATAATAGATGATATAATATTATACATACGATTTTAAGCTAAAAAATTAAAATTAATAAATGCACGTAGTATAATTATAAAGTGGGAATATTAAATTGCACTAAACTATGTTATCTACAAACAAATTGCTATTTTTCTTTCTATCTCATAATAGAAATCGTCCTATTTAACAAATAAATAGGTTACGTCAACAGTTTTCATCGTAAATCTTTTAATTTTATTTTTCTTAAAAAACTATATTGAGAACAGACAGACAATGTATAAATAATATAGTATAAAACTGGGTCTGTGTGTCTCATTTATATACACAGCTTTATCAAGGGAGCTGGCGGTATAAGGGGTATAGTTTAACAATTCACACGATTCATCACAATTTATTTACATTAAGATAAATGCAGATTAAAAAAGGACTTTGTTACTACGACTATTAGATCTAAAATCTATTAGTCCTAAACACGGAAGGATCTAGCTAATTCATTACACTAATACTATAATCAATAAGGTTCATTTTTCCTTGCAATGACTTCCTCAATGTCATGTCAGTTTGACTGTTAGCTGTTTTTAATTGCCCAAATGTGTTCAAAGCAATTAGGGCTTAACAAGCATATTTATTATGATGAGTCATGGATAACTTAGCAGTTCAGATGGTTTCCTTTTTAAATTATGGCTGTAGGTTATGATCTTGATGTTTTTATAACATTGTTAATGTTAATACAAACGTTTATTTTATTAGTAGTTACCGTCGCCGACCCATCTGCTACATATAAAGTTTTTAATGAATGTGACTAAAACTGAGACTTCCGTTTATCTTTATACATTGTTGCCAGTATAAAAATATTTTACGACTTCTTTTAATTTTTTTTTTTCAAATCTTTTGACTTTAAATACACATTAAGTTTTTATAAAAATATAAAATATGACTTATAATTTTTTTATTACATATTGATAATGATAATGTTCTGAATGAGATATTACCTCTGGCTTTGTAAACGGTGCGATAATTTCTTGAGCTTTCTCAAAAGCTTCTATACTTTTAAAGTCTAGTTTGACTCCTTTCTGTTTAGCATTCACGTTATTGTATTGAGATACTCCTGTGAGGAAATCAGCTAAACTTAGATCCGAGGTCGTTGCGGGAGGGTGGGCCATAATTGGAAGAGGAGGTCCGCCATTTCCTTTTAAATGACCCAGTATGACGTCAGCTTCTAGCATTGATACTTCACCTGAAAGAGATAATGGGAGCTATTGCGTATTTCTAGAACATGAACAATTTAACGTTCTGAAATATATGACTTCAAAATAAACTCGATCTTTTCCTCAAATAAGATCCACTATAATAAATTCATAATACTAAACAGCATATACGTAGATGTATCGCTAAAGTAAATTATCTACATTTCATACAAATATATTAAGATAAGACAAAAATGCTTAAAAAAATTTTTGGACTAAATTACGACTTTATAGGTTTTATTTAAAACAATACGTCTAAACTGTCAAATTCTAAAATCTTTACGGGACTTACTGAGAATTCATAGGTGTGAATTAAAGCGAATAACATAAATTCCTACCGATTTACACATGAAAGTGTCGGTTACGAGCGTAATTATAATTAAAAGCGCTTCTGAGAACACGAAGGAATCCGTCTAGCCACTTGTACATTTATTATACATAGTTCCACACACATGTTTATTCATACCTACGTTCATATGTACATGGTCGGAAACGGTCGTTTCCCTGATGATTTACTTTCAATTTAAACGTTTCGATATAAACGCAAGATAATCCCGCTAAAGTGTTAGGTAATAATGACTTTTGTGTTGGATCTGTCTTAAAATAATATAATGATTCTACTTCAAGGAGTAATATTTTTTCTCATAAAATAATAAATATAAAGTTGGTTTGCAATAAGCGAAGACATTTACAACATTTACAAATAGTTTGAACTAAAAATTCTCTCTTTTTTGAAGTCGGTTAAAAATTACTTACTTGCTAAAGTTGCCTCAAGATATGTTTTGTTGTTGACGGCGTGTGCCCATGTTACTGTGGTAAGATTCTTCATCGCTTCTTCGTCGCCGCAGACCAAAGAGGCTGAAACATTAAAAACGAGCTTAGACATAGTATTTTATTGTTTTTCTGTCTACAACGAGGAAAAATATTATGTTTTCAATTCAATTTTAAATCTTTTATTATATGTTTTTAAATATACTTTTCGTACTTGTAACTCTTGCTCTACGCCATATTAAAAATTATGGCAACATCGACTCAATGTCAAGTGTCAATTACTTGTCAAGCCGGTGAATCAGCTGTAAATAATTCTTCAAAAGTTACATACGTCTCACACAATTGAACACAGAAAAATATGCTTTAAAGCAAAAACAAAATAACTCACATCAACTTATCACGTAAAGAGGTTTGATAACTGATAGTATGGATCCTAGAATTAAGAATATTATTATTTTTAAGTAAACGCTAGCAAATATAAACAACCTCCAATCCACGGAATGTAAATGACAATTGGCATTTGGCAGATACGTTCTGTAGAGATGTCACAACAGTGTGTAACGTGGACGTTATATCTATATAGTATAATTTCCTTCGCATGTTTTAATACCAACATTTTAATATTGCAAAAAAATATAAAAAAAACTTTTTTCGTTAGTATTATCTATACAATACTCAATGAGTCAGTATTTAAATAAATAAAATTTAGTGGAATATGATATCGTTCGTTTTGATTGCAAAACAGAACGTCACAGATAATATAATAATTGATTGAGATAGATAATAAATAATAATATAAGCCATGTTCTTTTAGATTAACGTTGTTGAAATTTTTAATATTTTTTTATTACATGTTATTGTTATCTTGAAATTTGAATGATAAATTTATATTATCAGAGAGTCTACAACACTGGTTCATTGACCTTAGCAGTTTCAAATTACGTACTAAAAATATACCTATTATTTTTATTAATTTTATTTATTTTTTTCTAGGCCATTTATCCAATTGCAAAGAGACTGGTGATAAGTTGTACGCGCATCCGAGATGTTTCTCGCTTATCAGTGTGCAGTTGTTTAGTATATAATTTGAGATGAATATTACATTGAACTAGCGACTTACCCTCGCTTCTATTCGGGTTCGTCCCTAGACAAAAACAAATCTATCCCACGGGAACCATACATTTTTTCGGGATAAAAGTAACCTATGTGCTATTCCAGACTATAATCTATGTTTGTAACAAATTTCATCCAGATCCGTTCAGTCGTTCTGGCGGGGAAGAGTCAACAATCAAGAGAAATGAAACATCCGTCCATCCTCACAAGCTTTCACGTTTATAATATTAGCATGGGTTAAATTATTTTATATCCGTTTATTTCCACTATACCGGAAATGAAGATTTCTACCATTTAATTATTATTAATTAGTTTGCAAGGATACAGTACTATGTATTTAATAAAATCGTATTTATATTATAGCTATTACAAATCGCTCCACTAACGAACTCATTTCCTCTGCATAATATAACTCTATAATGTAGTCTATTCGAAACATCTAGAAAAGACATATAAATTAATAATAAATTTAATACTTTAGTTATAGGGTGAGCTCAAACAAAACTTAAGTTCAAATGGTGGCTAATTAACATAGATTAATGTTAATTTTTTTTATTAATACCATTAAAGCCAAAAAGAAAGAAAATCTGTTGATAAACAGAAGAGTAAAAGTTACTGAATTTTTTTGTTTTTACTGATCTATATAAGATAAAAAGTAAGTGTTTCCATTTTTTTATTAATTGGTATTAGGTATTACTTAAGGTCGTGAACGGTTACATACCAAAAAAAAAAGAAAATGATTGACAAACAGGAGAAAAAGGCATAGCGATTTTATTGTCATTGCCAATTTAAATATAGGCCAAATATAGATAGATAGATACTCAAACCCTCAACGACCACGGGCACACCGGTGTTACAGTTAACAATGAATTTCTTAGAAATTTACCTCGAAGAGTTATGGCTTACCTACACATACACACTGCACGCGTCTTGTAAAAATTTTATATATATATATATATATATATATATATATATATAAAATTTTATATATATATATATATATATATATATATATAAAATTTATAAATAGATGCCTATAATTAATTTACTCAAAATATATGTATACGTTACTTATCTTTTAAAAAATATTACGTCGTTCCATCGTTTTTAAGAATTCCTATTCTTATTACACTTACGCCTATTGAACACATCTTCTCCACATGTTTTAGCAAAGCGTTGTTTGACATATAACTACTTGTGTTTCAAATAATTATTAGGAATCTGACGAAATTCAGCTTGTATTTTCTAGGCTAAAGGAAAAGCTGCCAATCTAGATTTAAAACGTAAACAGTGTTTGATGTACGAATGTACAAATGTAAACCAAGTTACTTTGAAGTTTATTCGCGGTTACAATTATTAGGTATATTGAAACAGGTCAATTCGGTACGTCTGTATATGACCGCATTTTGTAATATAGTGTTAATTAATATTACTTTGTAGCAATTTAGTAAATCTCAGGTTTCAGTAGATTATGTATGAAATTGACACTTTATATATATAACTAGCATTGCCCGCGGCTCCGCCCGCGTTCGGATGACCAAAAACCAAATTCTTAGGTTTTAAATATTAGTATACGCTTATAGTCTTACATTACAGTTATTGTATTTTTTTCTCAGAAGTGAGACATTTTTCCGCGGTAAAAAGTGCCTATCCTATATGTTGACCCGGATAACCAGCTACCACCTTACCAAATTTCATCAAAATCCCTCCAGTGGTTTTTCCGTGATGCGGTAACAGACAGACAGATAGACAGACAAAAATTGTAAAAACTATAGATTCGGCCTCTGTATCGATAATAATGACTATTTCAATAAGATTTTCGAAAAAATATTTAATGTACAGATTCGACTCGGTTAGAATTTCATTATATGTATAGATTATACCTACCTACGTACATATACACATACCGACATAGTATATACATGTATAATGTACGTTAAAACTAGTTGTATATAATATGTACTATGAAGACTAATAAATCCTAACAAGGAGTCCCATACAACGCTTTCACGCACTATTTATTAACTGCCTCTGTAATGTTAGTGGCTAGCATGTATGGCTTGGACCGGGAGATCCTGAGTTCCATTCTGAGATTGGGCTAAGTTTAGTTATTGGATTTTTCTGTTAAGAGATTCTCAGTAACAGCCCGGAGTCAGAAAGTTGGCGGTGTTTTACCAGTGCCATGAAGAGCATGTAAAACCGTCGGTCCTGAACCTGATCTGTGGTCTTGTCGAATTGTCGTCCCACTGGACTATAATGTATTTGTGTGCGCATATTTGTACACTATAAATATTTTATGCGCTAATCAAAATTTACCGCCGCGCCGTGGCCAAAATCAGCCTAGAGAACATTTTTGTTAGCAAATAAACATAGCTACATAAATCTTATAGATACTTCGGCAGGCCTGCCGTCGGGGCATCGTAGTTGATTGCGTAAGGGACCCTGGGATCCTGGGTTTTAGCGGTACTGGCTTTGCCAGTTAATCCCACATAACTAACGAATTCACATACCACCTCTATGTAGTATGAGTAAATGCATTTCCCATCATTAAGCAAAGGGTGTCTAGGTACCCAACAGTAGTATATATGTTTTATTATATTATATCCAAGTCGTAGTCTGTGTGTACTCATCCTAATTCATCCAGCCTTTCAGCGTTAAGAACATAGAAACACATAAAATTTCGCATTTATGTCAGTAGCTCAATTGCTAGAGTTGAAAGCTCAGTGGCTCTCGGCCCCCTTTTCTGAATTCCATGAAAACACTCAAAGTGTAATATGTTTCATATATGAGATCATCCGGAAGCAAGGCTGAAGTGGCTGAATCACTTTTAGAGGAAGCATCGATCGTTTTGGTTATCCGTGCTATTTCACAAGATTAGAAATATAAGCGGAATGTATATTTTAGTATCGGTATATAAATTATTGATGTTATAAAATTAAACTAAATGCTCATTTGGCATTGAAGAAGATACATGGAAATATGAATTTCGTATAAAACTAGCGACTTACCCTCGCTTCGCTCAGGTCGCGTGGTCGGGTCCCTAGGTGCCTAAGTCATAGTCTGTGTACTAAATTTTATCTAATTCTGTCCAGCCGGTTCAACATGAAGGAGTAACACACATACATACATACACACCAACTTATATATTTATAATAGTAGTATATACCGAATAAATATATTGACTGATTTGTTGTGACCTAGATTTTAGACCGTGGATAACCAAGAAGAAATTATTTTTTGAAATTAAATCCCTAAAGAAATGGAAATGAGTGACGAATACTAAGTACTAACTAATATGCAATACAAAAGTGAGACGCTCGTAACATTGCAATGCCGAAAAATATGACCAACTCTTATCCATGTGGTTCAATTACATTTAAACACTAAGGTATTTTTAATTGCTTTGTAGAGACAGTTTATATTTTTATATAGCACTAGCGACTCACTAGGATAGATTTCTGAAAAGTATCCTATAATTGTTGACCCGGATAACCAGCTATCATCAAACCAAATTTCATCAAAATCAGACAGACAGAAAGACAGACTAAAATTCTAAAAAGTATAGATTCGGCCTCTGTATCGATAATAATGTATATTTTAATAAGATTTTCCAAAAAAATATCTAATGTACAGATTCGGCTCAGTTACAAATTTATTGTATGTATAGATAGATTGTGTATATATATAATAATTAATGTGCGTAGGAAAAGCTCTAGTATCTGGCGACCGAGCTTCGCTCGGAATTTTTTTCAGATGAAACATAAAAATTGCGTTTTTTTTTCAGAAAATGCACCTTGGTATAGTATAGACTCATAGAGAAACTTAACAAGCTAAACCTTATTTAAATAAAAAATTTGATCTAAATTGTTAAGAGTCGTTTCCGAGGTACACGAAATAAATTTATATAGGTACATATATGTATAGGTACTAGAATTGATCATTTAATAATAATAATAATAACAATGTCCTCCTGACCAATTTCGACCGGCAAGTCTCACTGAGACTAGATAACTGCACAGGAGATATTATAGTGCACAAGTGTACGCGCAGACACAACGTGCACTCTCTGTTCCTGTCACTCCCATACTCCGGTGGGACGATACTTCGACAAGACCGGTAAGAGTTAAGGCGCAAAACCAACCGAGAACCGAAGTTAGCGGTGAAACACCGCAACTCCGGGCTGTTCCGCTGTTACTGATAATTTCTTTGACAGAAATACTTAATAACTGAACTTGGCCCGATCCGAGACTCGAACCCAGGTCCTCCGGATTGCCAACTTGAAGCCACTTTGGGGACGGAGAGAGAGAGTTTATTTAATATTAAAAGATATACATACATATGTATGTCAAGGAAAATATTGCAATAATGCCCATATTGTTATATGACACACTTTCACAATAAAATCTGCTGATCATGCCACGCCTGATAACCATCTTAAGATCATTATCATCTTTTTTTTTATTCAATTATTTCCATTTGTCTACGCTGACATTCCTAAGAAAAACATTTAAAACCTTAATCTTCTTACATTAATCAATAGTTCGTAGTCAATCAGTATAATCAATAATTTAATAAAGCCTCAAACCGACGCTTTGCAATACACCTTTGCCAATTAACAGCCGAAAACTACCTTTGTTAAAATAATTACTATCGACAGGTAAGTAATAGATTAAATTTTAACTCAATAAATCAATTATATAGTAAAGTTCTAAATTAATTTTTAACTTGTAGCATTTATAATTAATTTTCGATTTGCCACATTTATCACGTTTTAAATAGATATAAATAGTTATCAGCCAGCGTTCGCCATATAAATTTTAATTTTTTTCGTTAATTTTTAATTTTTTCTCTTTATTAAATCTTCCGTGGACCTTAAGGAACATACGAAAAATTTTTTTTGCCAAATTGGTCCGGCCATTCTTGAGCTATGCGCTTACTAGCATTCATTTTTATTTATATAGATGAGAATTTCTATCAACAATACTGCTGTTGATCGAAGGATAAGAAAGTCGACTTCATATAATAGGATAGAATAATAAAAATAAAAATTTGTAAAAAAAGAACTTTATGTTTACTTATACTATTAAGCATGTAGTGATTATCCATAACTAGAAACTTAATGATCATGTTAACAATGTATCTTTTGACGGTCCTAAATGAATAAATAAATAAATAAAAGTTTACCTGTAACAAACAACAGTAGTACCGCCAGCATTTTGCCCAGCTCACTTCTGCACTCAGGGAGACAGCGGGGCACACAGGATACCTAACAATCGGACCAATCGTCCAATTGAAGACGCTTGATTGTCGCGAATAAGCAAATTGGTGACACTTCAAGGACTATGGGGATAAGGTTTTTATCTAATATATTTTTACACTACGGATTTGCTGGTATTTTTGAAATTATACTTGTTTTGGAACGTTTGGGAAAAATATGTGAGTAAAATTTGTACGATGCGCGCGCACGCCGACAGCCAAAAATCGACATGATGAAGTTAGCTGAAAGCGATATGATGAAGTTAGCTGCATTCCTTTTACAAACAGAAAGCTGTGATGTAGGTACGGGATGAAATCTTGAGCTATTTTTGTTTCGTTACGTCAAAGAAGTATAACTCCTTAAGTGTTTTTTTTAATTAGGTACTTATAATCATAATTAGGCATTATTTAAGTATCCAGGATTTGTAAAAACAACTATGTAGTGGTTTGGAATTGGTTTCTTCGCCCAAAGACACAAGTTCGAGTACCGCTCCTGAAACTTATTTATATTGGTCATACAAACATTTCACGTCCTGTGTATAACATAGTGAGTAATACACTATGATGAACATTACATACTATGCTACAAAGATAACATTATATTTTTATCGAAATAGTCCATTCGTAAAAATAGTGGAAACCGCTTGTTACTTACAAGTTTAAGTTATTTACAAAAGCATTACATCCTGACGCAGAGTGACAATTTTACTTTGCACTTTTCCCGGATATTCAAAGTATATTTATATGTTTTATGATTAACAAATAAACTTATTATAAATTCACCCTGCGCAGGACTAGAATCCGTGACCAGCGTAGCAGACAGTACTAATAAAACTGAAATATTGCTTATTTCTATCTTGCTACCATAAACATATTTTCTCACGTCAGACATACAGCACGTAATATTTTACTGTTAGTATGGATTCGGAGATTTGATAAAGATTCAAGTACAAGATTACGTCTAGGTATCTGAATAAACGAGATAAATACAGTTAATAGCCCACGAACTATGAAAACGATTACACCGTCTATTGATACTATATAAATTACTAGCGACTCACCCTCGCTTCGCTCGGGTTCGCTCGTCCCTAGCTTGCTTACCAATACAAACTTTCATCCCCATTTCCACCCCCTTAAGGGATGATTTCCGAGATACAAAGTATCCTATGTCCTTCCCAGGATCTCAAACTATCTTCTTACCAAATTTAATCTAAATCGGTTTAGTATATCCAGAGATTACCCCCTATAACATCACAAACACACAATTCACAAAATTTACCTCTTTATAGTATTAGTAGGTATAGATGAATATTTTTTTAATAACTTTGTGGTATGTATTGTTTTATATGATATTATGTTAGAGGTTTTAAATTAAATCTTTTCACGTTTTTTTTTCGATTGTGGTTGTTCCTGGCTTTTTAAATGTTTTACGGGTCCCATGGTACGACTCTTAGTAGAGACGTAAATATAAAAAAAATGTTAATGTTATCTCTATACACATTACACATAAATAAAATTGAAGTGTCTGTTTGTAATGGCAAAATAACAGCTTTTTACTAAATGCATATGAAAGTACACACGGTACTAAAACGAAAAAAACAAACTAAAACTTTTGTCTGTTTGTTTGTCCCGGCTAATCTCCAAAATGGCTGGACTGATTTTGACGGAACTTTCACTGGTTACTTTTATTTTGGAAAAAGAATTAGGGTTCCGTGCAAAAAAAACCCAATGTGATCATTGTTTTTTGTTAACTATATTTTTTTTTTTTAAACTTTATTTTAAAAGGGGTTTGGTCACAAAGTGATCATGCCACCCCTATAGGAACAACTAAAGATAAGGAATACAATTTCCAATAATCAACCTTATAAATAACATAAATTAAGTATTTCTATGTCTTAATCCGACTTGTACTACTTTGTACAACATTCTTGACTGATTCGATATAGGATCGGCCAGAATGCTGTTAAAAGCTCCTATGTCTAATAAATTTATATTAAATCTCAATAAAAAAATTCTTCTTTCCGCTTCATTTCGGACACATTCAGCTAATATATGATGTACATCCTCAATTTTATTACATTCTGTACAGTCAGATGACACCGCCTTACCCATTAAGGAGGCAAAACTATTCAATGGAATGTGACCGGAACGAAGCCTCAAGGCTGTTATGATTTCGGACCTACTCATATTGGCACCAATAAACCAAGGTTTACGACATAAATTTGGCGGTATTGTCTTGTACCATATTCCTTTTGTCACAGATCTCTCGTCAAAGTATTCTTTCCACTGTCTGTAACCATTCAGTTTAACAACACTTAAGACCTCTGTGTAGTTAGATAAGCACGCAAAAGGAACACCGTCAACAGAAGCTTCCTTCGCCAAACAATCAGCTATTTCATTGCCATCTATACCAATATGAGAAGGTATCCATTGTAAAGACACTTTTTTATTAGGAATAGATGTAAACTTATATATATTTTTTAAAATGTCATAGGCAATAGGTAGTCCCCTAAAACTAGGATTAGTACATCTTATTAAATGTTGGAGAGCGCTTTTTGAGTCTGTTAGAATTACAAAATAATTTAAATTAATGCTACTAATATATGTCAATGCTTCTCTAATAGCAATCAGCTCAGCATGCATTATAGAAATATTACAATTTATTTGGAGTTTCAGAGTGCTTTTACTCTGTGGATCAAAAAATGCTACTCCAATTTCATTTTTGTCCTTTGACCCATCAGTAAACAAATATAATAATTGGGGTATATTCTTTGAATTGCTTCATTACAGACTACTTTAAAATTATGTACGTTATATGTTCTTTTTGACTTATTAATTATATCTAACTTAGGTTGTATAGCTCTTGAAAAATCCACGTCGCCAATCCATGTATCGAAACTAAACATATCTAATTCTTTACTACATTGAATGGGGCTAGAAATAAGAAAATTATGGACCTGAGTTAATACAGGCTTTTTCTTTTTAGTCCAGTACGGTTTGTGGTTCAGAGTTTCGAGTTCATGAATTAATTCAATTATTTCATTATTTTCAAATGACCTGCACTTTAGCCAAAATTTTGCTTCTAAAAAATATCTACGAAAGGCCAATGGCTCAAGGTGGAGTTCCGATTCCATTACATGTATAGCTGTACTCTTTACAAAACCCCCAATAATTCGCATACAACAGTTTTGAATTATATCTATTTTCCTTAAATGTGTATTTGCACTATTACCATATAAAAAGCATGCATAGTCCAGCTTACTACGAATAAGTGAAAGATAAAGCCGTCTCAAATGGGTTGGATGAATTCCCCATTGTGAACCTGCCAATACTTTAAAAACATTAACATATTTTAAACATTTATTTTTAAGCTCATTTAAGTGCTTTGACCATCTCATAGATCGATCTAACCACAAGCCTAGATATTTATATGTGTCGACTACGGGTAGTGATACTCCATCAATTTTTAAGTCAATATTATCTCGTTTACTGCCGGATTTAAAAAAAACTACTTTACTTTTAGCACTTGAAATATTTAAACCTATATCGTTTAAAAGTTTGGATACTAAATTTAATGCAGCTTGTAATATTTCAGTATCTCACTGTGCATTATCACAGATTGAGTATAAGACGAAGTCATCAGCGTACTGCGAGATAAATACACTGGTTACGAGTTTACATATATTTGAAGTAACCATATTAAATAGCAATGGTGAAAGAGGATCCCCTTGAGCTAACCCTCGGCCTGAGCTTCTACAAATATTATGATTCTCGATTTGAATTTTTAAATATCTTTCTCTAAGAAAATTTTCTAAGTACGAGCAAATTTTAGAACCTACTCCTAAATTATCCATAATATGTAATAGACTGTTAACATCAACATTATTATAGGCGTTGTCAATATCAATAAAGCAACATAATGCACTGCGCCTGTTTGAAAGACCCGATTGTATTCTAGAAACGAGTGTGGTAAGATTGTGTAGTGTAGAATGACATTTTCGAAATCCCGTAACACTTTTGGATAACACATGATTTCTTTCAATAAACCATTCTAATCTACTGAGTAAAATGCTATGAAAGACTTTACATAAACATGACATCATGGAAATCGGTCTAAAGGACGCAATGTCTTGTGGATCACGCCCCTGTTTTGGGATTGGTAATATAATAATATCTCGCCATTGTCGAGGTACAAAAGAGTTTGTTAGAAATTTATTATAAATTTCTGTTAATACTAGTTTACCATTATGAGGCAAATGTTTTATCATTGAGTAAGATATGTTATCAGATCCTGGAGATGTATCCTTAGTTTTAATGCATTTTTCAACCTCTAAAAGCGTAATAAGTGTCTCTAACTTCGTATTTGTTGATGTAAAAAATTGTTTATTAGGAACTGTAAAATCAGGTGTTAAGTTTCGTAATAGTTCATTAGCTTTCCCTTCGTCAATATATTTTCTTGGACGTTTGTAGCCTTTTATCCATTGCATCTTTTTCCATACCTCACCCAGCGACAGAGACTCGTCGACAGATGAGCACATGTTCTGCCACGAGTGTGAACGAGCATTACGCATCCTAAGTTGTGATAGACGTATCTTATCCTGTAGCTCGGTTAAATTATCAGGTATGGGGTTACGTCGGAATTTTGCGAGTGCTAAACGTCGTTCTGCTACAGACTTGGAAAGGTTTTGATTCCAGTAAGGCCTCGGTGTAAACTTACTACATGGGTTATTGCATGTTATAATGTAGGGAATATAGATATCGGCTGCCAGATACATGATTTCTACAAAACTATCGTATAGGTGTTGCAAATCATTAGACACATTAAACTCTAAAAATAATCTTTCTAGTAGTTCTGTATAAGATTTCCAATCTGCTTTTTTAAAATTTCTTTGAGCTGTATTTTCTAAATTCGAAATAAAATATGTAGAAATTTTAATTATGCAGTGATCACTGCCTAGA